TGAGACAGGAAATTGATTTTTAATTTTACACAGCCAAGAATTATCATCTTTGATACAGGCTACTACCCAAAATCAATGATTCAAGCCTGATGTCTATTTTGATACAGCCCTGACTGGCATCAATGTTGATTCATGTCTGTTGCTCTGGCTGAACCAGGGCTGTACTCCAGCATGGTTGTATCATGGATTATCATCATGATTGTATCATACTAGACTCATTGCTTTGCAGGCTGCCCAAAATCCATGATACAGGAATGTATCAAGGCTGATCCTGATTGATATCAGTCATGATTTAAATTAGAATTCTTGGCTGTGTACAAAGCAAGCACTATCGTCATTATGGCATGACTGTATAGTCCAATGGCACTTCAACTTATACAGATACACCACATTTCAGATATCATTATAATTACATGTGTGTGTTGCATGTAAAGTACACTAACCCCCAAGTACGTGAACTGATCAGTAGTAGTAAAATCCTTAGCAGATCTTCCTAAAGTACTCGGAGTTAGGGTCTCAACTGTACCCTAACAATGACAGACAATTTTACATGTACATGTATATGTGTAAATTATAAATTGAGTGCATATTGCAACATACGTACACTTATTACCTTATTTGGGTAGTATAATTTAATTGTTTATTTATTATATTAATTGGTAGCGATGGAAGGTTGTCTTAAATATTTATTATTACAGCTATAGGGTAAATAGCATTAATAGTTAATGGGCATATCAACAGCTCATGCCTACACCAGCAAAAAATAATTCATCATGTATTTTAATTGTGCTCTATTAGCAAAGCATAAGTTTTTTCAGCGATACATGTACATGTAGCTAATAATATCAATGACAGTTATTGTGTCATAATACTAATGGACAGAGTCTAGCAGTGGCTGATGTTAAAGGATTGAGAGTTGAAGACTTTGAGAGTGAAGAGTATCTTGTACCAGTAGTACCTGATGATCCATTACTGCAAATAGACTGGGAGGAGGAGGGAAAGATTGAAGAATGGGGAGACACAAGTCTTAAAGAAAGGTATAAGTTACATCAAGGTTTTCAAAAATTGGACTAAAGTCCCTGTACACGGTCTTTGGTCAGCCAAAAATGACTAAGAGACAATTCTTCATTTTTATAATGTTTTCTGATACATATACATGTTTTTATGTTGTGTAGCAATTTTGAGCTGATTCCAATCAAAATTGGATTTTTTACGAATTTTTAAAGTTACTCGAAAATCGGACCAAAGTCCCTGTACTATAGTACAGGGTTTTTGGCTAAATTTTGCCAAATATGACTAGGAAAGAATTCTTTATTTTAATAAGTTTTTCTGATGCATATACATGTTCTTATGTTGCGTAGCAAGTTTGAGCTGATTTCGACCAATATTGGATTTTTTACAAATTTTTAAAGTTACTCAAAAATCGGGCCAAAGTCCCTGTACTATAGTACAGGGTTTTTGGCCAAATTTTGCCAAAAATGACTAGAAAAGGATTCTTCATTTTAATAATTTTGTCTGATGCATATACTTGTTTTTATGTTGTGTAGCAAGTTTGAACTGATTCTGATCAAATTTCAATTTTTTATGAATTTTTAAACTTAAAAAATTTATGAACTTTGCTGTTTCATGCTTTATGGGAAACAATGAGTTTTGAAGAGTCCTATTGCATAGATGTACATGTATATGTAAATTGATTTGTACACCATAATATATTTTCCTTTTTTTACTATTTTCATTGTGTCTCTCTTCCTTACTTGTCCTCTTCTCTCTCTCTCTCTCTCTCTCTCTCAGACTGGAGCTCACTGAGAAGCAGCTCCTACTTACCAGAACTGCATTAGACAATGCTCTTAAAGACCTCAACCAAATGAAGTACAGAAGAACCTCTATCTCTCTTCCTTTATCCTCCTCTTATGAATGTATATATACATCTCTTTTTCCCTTTGTCTCTTAATTTTCTTCTTTATTGTTTGTCTTTTCTTTCTTGTTCCTCCTTTTGTTTTAGAGAAACAATGAGAGAATTAACAACCAGTAGCACTGATCCTGATGCTACCATGGAGACTGCTGTTGAGGAGAAGGACAGTTACTTTAGCAACTATGGACATCATGGCATTCATGAAGAGATGCTCAAAGTAATTCAAAATGTCTACGTGTACATTTTATACATACATATGGGTAAGAACTTTGACAGCATGCTGTGCCTATTTACATGTACATGTACATGTATGTGCATCTAAAGTTCATTTCATTATCTCAGTCTATTTCCTTTTTTTAGGATAAAGTTAGAATGGATTCTTATGAATTATTCATTACTAAAAACACTGAAATATTTAAAGATAAAGTATAATATACATGCACACGTAGTTATCAGCCTTTATTGTCTCTTTTTATCACCTTCCCCCTCCCTCTCACTCTCTCTCATTACATTTCTATACAGGTTGTTCTTGATATTGGTTGTGGTACTGGTATTCTCTCCCTTTTTGCAGTTAAAGCTGGTGCTAGTCATGTATTCGCAATAGACCAATCACCAATCATATACAAAGCAGTAGAAATAGTGAGAGAGAATGGGGTTGATGATAAAATCACATTTATAAGAGGAGAAGTGGAGAGTGCTAGGCTACCAGTTGATAGTGTTGATGTGTTGATATCAGAATGGATGGGGTACTTCCTTTTATTTGAGTCTATGCTTGATACTGTACTGTATGCTAGGGACAAGTGGTTGAATGATAAGAAAAATGGTAAGATGTATTTATGTACATTTGCTAAATCTAGAGTTTCCCACAAAGCATGCTAAGTGAGCTAAACAGCATGAGCTTCGTGAGCTGACAAGCACTACAATACAGTACATGGCATTTGGAGCAACTTTTAAAATTCATAAAAAATCCAAATTTGATCGGAATCAGTTCAAACTTGCTACACAACATAAGAACATGTATATGTATCAGAAAAAATTATAAAAATGAAGAATTCTCTCCTAGTCATTTTTGGCCAAGAACCCTGTACTATAGTACAGGGACTTTTGTCCGATTTTTGAGTAACTTTGGAAATTTGTAAAAAATCCAAATTTAATCGGAATCAGCTCAAACTTGCTACACGGCATAAGAACATGTATATGTATCTGGAAAGAATATAAAAGTGGAGAATTCTCTTCTTTTTAATTTTGGCAAAATTTGGCCTGAGCTACATGTATGCCGTGTTACTGTATAGGGACTTTGATCAAATTTTTGAGCAAATTTAAGAATTTTGATTGGAACACGCTAATTATGAGTTTGGCAATTATTGAATTTTCTCTTTTTCTCTCTCACTCTGTCTTTCTCTCAGTTTATCCTAACAGGTGTAACATGAGTCTAGTTGCCATGGGAGATGAATATGAATATAACTCAAAGATCAAATTCTGGGAGAATGTTAGAGGTAAGTAGTTTATTATTATCATTGTAACAAGAGTAGGATCTAAACAAACAAAAAATTAAATTTTAGTAATAAGTTGAGCCAACAGTCAAACTGGTTGATGAGTATTGTCTCATTTCAACATCAGACGTCATTAAGGTTTGGGTTGTAATTATCTGTGTGGGCGTAAAATATTGTTGCGTGTGCATTATGAATGGATGGGCCTTTGATACGCCCACACAATTAATTTAAATTATTTTATGTGCAAGTACATGTAGGTTAATTCAGTCAATTTTATTTTATTTTATTTTATAGAAATTTGATATAACGACAGTCAAAGCGAGTGATCTTGATTTCAAATCAAGTTTCATGCTTACCATAAAGCAAAATGACACCTGCTATGTGAGTCTATCAATGTATTACATGTACATGTACGCGTACATGTCTATGTATCAAATACATGTAGAAACATTTTCAATTTCAGTCAATGATAAGCAACCACATGTACATGTACATAGCTGTAAATTTTGTGGGATTATTTAGTAATTTTATTCTAAAAAACTATGCACAAAGACAAAAATTTGTATTTTCGGATCTTTTTTTGACTAATTTGCAAAATTTTGACGCTAAAAAATTATTCTATTATTCTAAACAGTTGCTTTCCCTAAGGTCTGGTTTATTATTAATATGTTGTAGGGTCTTGTTGGATACTTTGACATTGGGTTTGAGGTTCCCTCTTATCGTGTGTACTTTAGTACTAGTCCACAAGATACACCCACTCACTGGCACCAGACGATATTCTTCCTCAATGAACCCATACAAGTTCAAACAGGTGGGTCTGGTTTAAGACTAATGTACTCATTACTCTCTATACTTATTAATTGGACCAAGGACTAGTCAGTATCATAAATTTACTTAACAGTAAGAAATTTAAAAGGGACTAAATTTTTGATGAATATTGCTAAATTTTGGCGATTCACAATTTAATTTTGCTCAAAATGGTGGATTTTGGTGTTGGTAAATTGCTACCAAAACACCAAATTTGCCAAATTTTAAAGTCCCTCCAAAATTTTCTAATGTATCTGTCTGTTTGTATGTACGAGACTGTCACTCCTAATTGTATTATCATTAGGGGATTTATTGCGTGGTAGTATCAGTTGCTATAAGAACAAGGATTGTTCAAGATCACTTGATATCAAGATACAGATGACTTTATTCCCACTCTCAAAAGAATCCCAAGAATTAATAATACCAGAACTCATTTACACACTTTCATGAATCATGATGCTTTACTGAATGTACTTTGTTTTGTCATTAAATCAAATGCCATCTGTGGTTATGTAATAAGAATTATTTCAGGAAAAATTATTTGATTTATAAACCTAATACATGTACAAGTATATGGGCATATATACAATGTGTAATTGGAATAGATATTAATTCATTTGAAGAGCAGTGCTGACTGTGCTGTATGACCACGTTTCTGCACGTGGTCACTAATAAAACTGACTGGAGGGTGTGGTCTAAAGTGATAATTAATTTGTTGGAATGTTAGGTGTGGCTTCACTGGCTTTGTTGAGTCTCCATATGAGGCTTGATTTAAGACCAATGATGTATCCAAACTCTTGAGTTTACTGTTATCATGGTAAACATCAATGGTTAAAAGAGCTATTATTAAGTATGGTAAGGATGATTAAAACATACAAATGGGTAAACAACAGTAAACCTCATTGTTAAGCATTGAAACTGTGGCAAACATTAATAAACATAGGTAGCTAAATACATACATACATATGATATACAGTGATAAACATTGGTCAACAGTGATTTACAGTGTTGAACACAGGTAAACATAAGTAAACAAAGATATACAGTGATAAACAGTGGTCAATAGTGATTCCAGACTATCATAGGGGTAGGAACAGGGGGGGCAGGAGGGGCTTAAGCCCCCCCAACTTTCATTGAAGGGGGGCTTAGCCCCCCCAACTTTAAGTGATGTACATGTATTACTATTATCAACACTATAGACTTTAGTTTAGATAATCCTTATATGTGTGCATATTGTGTGATGATTCGTTTCATAAAGCAATTAATACACTATCTTAACTTCTAAAAACACACTTTTATTAGTTTTTTCAGAAATACACAAGCTTCTACTTCTTTATTTAACAACTCTGTTAACATCAGCTTCAGCTGAGCATAGACTTTCGACGTTAAGGAGATTAAAAACTACTTGCGCTCCACAATGTCACAAGAGCGTCTTAAACATGTAGTTATTTTGCATACACACAAAGAATTTACAGATGATTTACACATCGAGGACATTGCAAAGGAATTTGTTACATTTAATGAGCATAGACGCCAATATTTTGGACAGTATTAATTTCAGTACATGCTATGTATTAATGATCAATTATAAAAATAATACCTTAGCCCCCCCAACTTTTAGTTTGTTCCTACCCCTATGCTTTCAATTGTAATCTATTACTATTACTATTACACCTTGACACTTCATATTACTATTACTATTATTATTACCTCTTGTAGTTTTACAACATAACGAAAAATAATTTAAAACAATATGTTGATAGCATTTAATAGAAATTAGTCTTTCAAACACACTGTCAGACAATGAACAGCAATCTGGTTGAAATATTTTACCAGCTATATCAAATAGCCATTCGACTGGGGTTATTGGTATTGCTTATTGTGAAAGATAATCTATAGTGTCCTCAATGTTAATTTAACACTATTATACTTAGGCCCTATTACTATTACTATTACTATTACTATTACATGAAAAATTGTAATAATTACTGTTACTATTACATATTACCCCAGGCCTGACTGTGTCACCATTAAGCAATATATATTATTCAAGAACCTTTAGTATTATGGATCACTGTAAGTGCTTGTCATATTTGTGTATTACTGTTACTATTATTATGCCTTATTACTATAATTACTATATTGTCTATTATTCAATGCCCTTTGTAGCATTTATCTGTCATTAACTTGTTAACAT